TATACCTGATGGTCATCTGAGTTAAATTCACCCATTCCTGTCCATTTTAGTTCGCTGATTCCTAAGATGTCGATGTTCAGTCTTGTCATCTCTTTTTTGACTACTTCTAGCTTGCCTTGATTCATGGATCTTACATTCCAGGTTCCTATGGAGAGAAAATCTTTACAGCATCGGACTTTCCTTTCACCACCAGATATATCCACAGCTGAGCGTCCTTTCGGCTTTGGCCCAGTTGCTTCATTCTTTCTGGCGCTACTAGTACTAGCCCTCTGCTCTTCCCCCGTAGCATATTGGACACCTTCCGACCTGAGGGGCTCATCTTCCAGCGTCATATCTTTTTTCCTTTTAGTACTGTCCATGGGGTTTTCATGGCAAAGATACTGGAGTGGTTTGCCATTTCCTTCTCCAGTGGATCACATTTTGTCAGAACTCTCTGCTATGACCTGTCCGTCTTGGGTGGCCCTGCACGGCATAGCTTATAGCTTCATTGAGTTACGCAAGCCCCTTTGCCACAACAAGGCAGTAATCCATAAAGGGGGAACAGCTACTAGATGGCACCAAATCATTGGTTTTCTGTATTTGGTGATATCTAGTATCTTTGCTGTCTTTTTCAGGCCAAATCTGTTAACCCTAATTACACATATATATTTCTACATAGATATACTGTATATGCATCATTTCTTGGTCATTTGGCAAATTTCAAACATGTGGTACATGCAATTTTCCTGAATATACATGCTTGATCCCACCTTTGATCTTTACACTTTATTACCAGTGATAGATTTAAATGTAGTATTATAAACCATCTAATATCTTTGGCTTATGGACATACTGAAATGTTGAGACATGACATGGGCATTATTACTGTGAGAAACAGCCTGACTTCTCATAAAATGGGTTCCATGGAGATATAAGTTGCCTTGAGAACTCACAACTCAGCTGCATTACGGAGATGACTAGTCAGTCCCTATTTTATTTTATATTCAACATGGGAAATAGTGACTTTCAGGCTGAGGTCACTTTCATTTGAGAAGATTGATTTTTGATATACAACTCACTGCACCTAACATCTCAGAGTTTGTACTGAAACAGAAACAGACAATTGCAAGAATCTGTTCAGGAACAGCCATAGCAGGTATGGTCTGTTGGCTGCAAGTTAATCAAAAGATCAACTGAAGGTGTTGACTGTGAGCTGCTCTAATTTGTATCAGCTTTAGGACCAGGGCAGCTTTTAAGCTGAAACAAAATAAAGTCCATATACTAATTTATCTCTTACCCCCTCCTTAAAGCCAAAATTAACAGTTCTCCCTTACAAAACAAATATGCAAAATAAGCTAGGGCAGAGCTTTGAATGCAAAGCACCAAAGATGCTTTGGTGTAAATGAGCCAGGTGCTCTCATTAAAACCTTTGCCCTCCAAAGCTATGCTTGTTTCAAGGAGCTGCCTGTAGGTGCTATATCTGTGCCATATAATACTCCCAAGCATTCTTTTATCTCAAAACTGAAAGTGCTGCCAACCCTGCTAAAAATACCTATTAGCTATTTCTGGACTGTATCTATATGGACTTTACAGTTTTGCAAGAAAGAATCCTACCAATTCCTGCATCCTATGGCAATACCAAATGTAGAGGGCAAAATAGTGTAAATACACAATACAGCAAACAGTGAAATCTTCTAATTTTTTAAAAAAAATATATACACAAGATCATATAAATTGTCCAACAATTTATCAACACATTCCAATGATTTGCCTTCCTTAGAGACTCTGAAATGATTAGGGGAAACAAGATGAGCATCCTCACCTAACAAACTATCATGGTTGTCTCTCGCAGAGCTTTTAAATGTACATTTTGTGTTCTGGGTGACTTTGGTAAGAATTGAGTTTTGCACTGTTTTTAAAACATAGATATAAACAAGCAAGCTTTCTAGATGGAACTGATCTGATTATGAGTTATAGACAGTATAACCAACTTTTCTTCCATTCCAATACTCTTTCCCTAAAAGAAAACTTAATAGGCTTTTGAGAGCCTCCATTTAAAGTCAGCTGTATAAAATGCTCCTTTTGATGAAAAGAGATTGGAACAAGGGTTAAAGTAGACACTGAGAGGTTATTGTAGAGGGCACACTGGTCATGAAATCCTCCTTTAATATGTATGGCATGCACCTGCGATAGGATGATTCATTAGATAAGGCCTCTCTTTGACAAGGTCTATCGTTCAACCCTCGGGGTAGTGATGGAACAATTCTGTACCTACCCAGCAAGTATAACAACGTCAGCATTTTTCCTTGTGGGGACTTACTCAAGGCACATGGGCACCAGATGAACCTTTGTTTATGTTTTATATTAATCATGCTTAAATAATATTTATTATTAATTATTTTTAGAAGCATGAGACAGAAGAAAATAAATTCCACTTCTAAGGAAAGTAGAATTGTAACAATGGAATCAGGTGGAGAAGAAGAACTTGTTTTTTTAATTACATGAAATTAATTGAGGGAACACCGATTTATAATCAATGGTTTAAAAAACAATACTATAGTCTTGCATTCATTATATAGTTGTTTTTTCTTCCCAATATAAGAGGTTTGGGAAGATCTTTAGACTCACCAAACATATTGAAATCTGGCTCTGTATCTAGTCCTGACAATTTTCATAAACTGAGTTTATTACAGAAAGGACTCAAAATTTTGATCTAACTAAATGTGCTTCTTGAAAACAAGTAATCTATATATAATGAGAATATGTAGATTACGTGGGATATAAAATTCCTGATAGCAATTCAGAAGTCAAGCTGAAGGAAGCTGGCAGGAATTGTAAAATTGATCGTGATTGCCAGTGTTCCCTATTAGCAAAATCTTTGCTTGTGGGAAGCTGCAGGGAAGGTTACAAGTTGCTCAGGTAAGTGTAGCCCACCAATTGCTCTGTGCTCATGCTGCACAGGCCATTCATGTACCTATTCACTCCCTCCTCCACTCCCTTGCCTCTGGGAAGGAGAGAGAAGGGGCAGCAACCACTCACCTGCCTCTGGGGGGGAGAGAAGGGGGGAAGGAAGGAAGGAGGAATAAAGGGAAAGAGAGATGAGGGAAGGAGAAAGGAAGGGAGAGCACAAAAGAGGGAGGGAAGGAAGGAAACAAATAGGAGAAAGGAAGATTTCTGATGCTGCCTGCCAGTTCACCACAAGGAGATTCTGTGGGGAAGCCAACAGGTAGTCGAAAATTAGTCCCACTTCCACTGACTTTTTGCCTATCCATTGTCATTCTGTTTTTCTCTTTAGATAAGGCAGTATCTCTAAAATTATGATTCATTGGATTGTATAGTAATTACTGTATTAATATACATTGATATTTTTTTTTGATTCTGTGTTTCTGTAAGATGGAAACCAAGTCTTTTATTTATACAGATACAAATTAGAAAATGAAATTCATTGAAAAGAAAGCATCAATGATGGACAAATTTCCTTGGAACTAATCATGCTAAATCAAATTATGTTGTGAATAGCTGCAATTCTGTATGAAATAAGTCATGGCAGAAAACAGAAAATACTTTATGATATGCCACGGGTGTCAAAGTCAATTTCATTGAGGGCCGCATCAGCATTGCGGGGGGCTGGGGGGGCGTGGCCAGGGTATGGCCTACTGGGTGGGCATGGATGGAGTGGATGTGGCCTACTGGGTGGGCATGGCCAGCTCTACATCATTCGCGTCAAGGGTGCCTGTGGCGGCCTGGGCAGAAGTGGGACAGATCTGAGGGTCTCTGGCAGAAGGGGGTGAGACCAGGGCAAGTGCCAAGGCATGGTCCATTTCTTCATTCCTCACAAAGAGTGACACCTCCCCAGCATGCACCCAGGGGGTGGGGGCGATGTAGCAGGAGCTGGTTCTTCACTGTTTCTAGGTGGCCTTGTGGAGCTAAGACTGAATGCGTTTCAGCATAGATGGCCATTACAAAATTATACATTGGCTCCCAGCAGGCCTGGGCCAGGGCCAAGGCAGTGGGGGCCGTTCCCTCACTGTTTCCAGGATGGTTTCGCGGGCCACATGAAACCACTTTGCAGGCCGCATCTGGCCCCCCGGGCCGTGTGTTTGACATGTATGCTCTAGAGTATAGAGTTACTAAGGAAGGTGTAAATATGGCTTCCTGTGATGAAAAGTGTTTGTGTTTAGGTGTGGCCAGTGGAACTTTACAAGAATAGAATAGTATGGATGATTGTGCTAGATTCTGGAAAAATTGCAGAAATAGTTTCCAAAAACATTTCAAAGGTACTTCCACATAGAATATATTGCACTAATTTAAGCTGGACAAATAAATTGTTGGTTACAACTGCCATTTAAGCTTCCAAGTGCAAAACTGAAACTAGAAACGTTTCACACTCTGAACCAGTTTCTGCAGGTGAATATTACCAGATCCAAAATAATTGAAATCCTGCTCCTGTCTATTTTTGCTTCTCAATCAGAAGTATTCCTGGAATAAATCTTAATTTATTATGCAGATAACTTTTCTTACAGGTTTTGCAAGATACTTATTCAGAACATCAACAATTTTCCTGGTAGAAGATACAAAAGATAAATTGTAGCAGATGTCATCCATATATTAACAACAATGGGCACAAATGCTCAAGATATATAACTTTGCAAACAAGCACAAGACCAAAATCAAACAAACAGGAATACTTATCTCATTGTTTTCTGCTATTAATGCAGTAAGCTGCATGAAATTTCTTCAAAATGAGATGGGCGGCAAATAAATTTAATAAATAAAAAATAAGTTTAAGAATAATATTGGATTGGGTCCAATATTTAAAGGATTTAAGTCCCAATGATTATCAGGGTGTACTTCAATATAACTTACTCTCAGTTCAAACCTTTACCTTATTGTTCTACTTCTTTAAAATTTTCTGTTGTGTATCTATCCCCCCTTTCATATATGTACAGTCTCAGATTGTTAACATTGGAAATGCTCAATATGCCATGTGAATCCACTGTTTCTATCCATCTTCCACTCACCTGTCCTTGGGCATTAGTGACTAGTTGACCTGTGACCCCCTGAAGATTGGAGAGTGCATTGCCAAAGGCTTGTGAGTTGGCTATTGAGCCCATGGCGGCAGCTGCTGCGGCTGCTGCTTGACTTGCCAGAGGATTATTAACCAGCTGAAAATGGGAAAAAAGAAGAAAAAATAAGGCTACTCATTGCAATTCAGTTCTATAGCGCAACATTATTAATAATCAGTCAAGGAAACAATAAGTCCACTTAAAAGAGAAGATGGCAAGGAGGTAACAGGTAATAGAGAGAAAGCAGAGGTGCTTAACTCATTCTTTGCATCAGTCTTCACGCAAAAAGAAACTATAGCCCAATCTACCAAAAACATTACTGTAAAAGACAGACTAGAAATAAAAATTAAAATAAGCAAGAAAATGATAAGAGAACACCTGTTTGATCTTGATGAATATAAATCACCAGGACCTGATGGATTACATCTCAGAGTTGTAAAGGAGCTGGCAGATGTCATCTCAAGACCATTGTATCATATCTTTCAAAAATCCCGGAGCACCGGGGAACTACCAGAGGACTAGTAAAAAGTTGATGTAGTTCCCATCTTCAAAAAAAGGAAAAAAAAAACAGACTCAGGAAATAACAAACCAATCAGCCTAACATCAATACCTGGGAAGATACTGGAAAAGATAATCAAAAAACAGATCTGCAAACATCTAGAAAATAAATAAAGTTATAACTAGACTAAATTAGTAGACCCGGGAAAGTCTATTGTAGATCATAGTATACCTAGATTTCAGTAAGGCATTCAACAAAGTAGATCACAACCTACTTCTTTGGTTAGCTAGAAAAATGTGGGATAGATAGCATCACCACCAGATGGATTTGTAACTGGCTGACAAACCATACACAACAAGTAGTCCTTAATGGTACTACATCTACATGCAGGGAAATAAGGAGAGGGATACCACAAGGTTCAGTCTTGGGCCCAGTACTCTTCAATATCTTCAAAATGACTTAGATGAGGGAATAGAAGGGGATCTCATCAAATTTGCAGATGATACCAAGCTGGCAGTAATAGTCAACATTTAGATGGATCTTGATGGACTTGAACACTGGGCCCTATCTAACAAAATGAAATTCAATGTAGAGAAAAATAAAGTCTTATACTTAGGCAAGAGAAACTAAAATTACACATATAGATTGGGTGAAACCATGCTTAATAGCAGTAACTGTGAGAGAGATCTTGGAACCCTAGTGGACAATCAATTAAATATGAGCTAGCAGTGAATGGCAGCAGCCAAAAAAGCCCATGCAATCCTAAATTGCATCAATAAAGGGACTGAATCAAGATTACATGAGGTACTAATACTGTGTTTCCCCCAAAATAAGATCTGGTCTTATATGGGTTTTTTTTTTTGCCTCCAAAAGAAGCAGTAGGTCTTATTTTCAGGGAATGTCTTATTTTTTTTCCTGACATATGCCATGCCTTGTGATGGTGGTACCAATAGCCCTGTCCAGCAGGTGGCTGCTGGCCAACTTCTGCGGCTGCTCGCAGCCACTGGTGGCAGGCCGCGTGGTCCTCCATACCATGCTGCTGCCATGAGGCATGGCAGGTGGGGGAGGGGGTAGAGCTTCCCCCAGCACCCCATAGATGCCTAAACACTTTTCGCCAGAGGGAGACTGGAAGCTTCATCTGCTTGCAAATGGGGCACTTCAAAATGGAGTGGTATGTTATTTGCAAGCAGATGAAACTTGTCATGGAGAAAAGTATTTGGGGGCCTATGGGGCTGAGTGAATCTCCATGAGGCAAGGCAGGTAGGGGAGAGGGTGGAGCTGCCCCAAGCACTCATAGGTGCTCAAACACTTTTTGCCCAGAAAGAAACTGGAAGCTTTGTCTGCTTGCAAATGGGGTGCTTGAAAACCGAGCTATTTGCTCCATTTGCAAGTGCCCCATTTGCAAGTAGACAAAGCTTCCAGCCTCCATCATTTCTCCATCTGGGCAAAAAGTGTTTGAGCGCCTATGGGGCACTTGGAAATGGAGTGAATTTCTCAGTTTCCAAACACTTCCAGTCTCCCTCTAGCTGAAAAGTGTGTGGTGTGTCCAGATCGCCTGACTCCCCCCAGACAGTGTTGGCTCCATGTGCTGACCGCTGCTTGTGCTGGCCATCCCCACCCCTGGGCTTATTTTTGGGGTAGGGCTTATATTAGGCCTGCCCCAAAATTCAGACCAGGGCTTATTTTTAGGGTGGGTCTTATTTTCAAAGAAACATGGTACCATTTTATAAAGCCTTAGTAAGACCACACCTAGAATACTGTATCAGTTTTGGCCACCACACTATAAAAAATATGTTGAGACTCTAGAAAGAATGCAGAGAAGAACAACAGAGATGATTAGGGGCCTGGAAGCTAAAGCATATGAAGAATGGTTGCAAGAACTGGGCATGGTTAGTCTAGTGAAGGACTAGGGATGACATTATACCAGTATGCCAATATTTGAGGGGCTGTTACAGAGAGGAGGAAGTTCAAAGTATCCGAAGGCCAGACAAGGAACAATTTCAATCTAGAAATAAGGAGAGGTTTTCTGACAGTGAGAACAATCAACCAATGAAACAACTTGCCTTCAAAATTTGTGGGTGCTTCATCACTGGAAGCTTTCAAGAAGAGACTGGACAGACATTTGTCCGAAATGGTATAGAGTTTCCTGCTTGAGCAGGACTAGATGACCTACAAGATTCCTTCCAAGATCCCTTCTGTTATTCTGTATCTTAATATCCCAAAATGTGTTTGAGACCTTTGACAATGTGAATATCAGGCTGCCTTGTTCCAACACCTTATAAGTTCTATTGGAATAACTGGAAATGATTTGACCTCTGGCAAAAGAATGTTTTCTATCTGTAGGGAGTTTTTTTTAAATACAAATACAAGTTATTCAAATGGAATATGGGTTTTAAAAACATGTAAAATTATTTGTTTAAAAGAAATGCATCAAAGCAACTCTGAATTAGATACAAGTTTCTGAAAATATATATTTGAGATGGGCTGCTAAATGAATTTGTTCAATAAATAAATACACCACACACAGCTAGGATAACCGTAAGCTGCAGAATTCCTATCCCAGGAAAAATCTTGCAATCAAATGATCACAATTTTATATAAATAGCTATATTTCATTCTTCCCATTTTCTTCTATGAAAACTTACATTAGCTAAAATTAAAGGAAAATCCAGAAAATGTGTATCTCAATAAATCACATAATAATGTTTGAGTTACAGAACATATGAAATAGGCCTATAGCAGTAAGTTAAGAAAAATTTTTTTAAAAAATGTAGTTGATGAGAAGAGAAGCCTTAAGCGTTCTATACAATTTTTAAAATCCTATTAGAAGGCAATTCAAAGTGTTTCAATTCACTATTAAAATTTGTGCTGTTTTAAAATAAAAAATTGAAAGGAGTATACAATGGAAATATTCTTAAAAAATTGAACGTAGATTCAATTAATTTACATTTACATTTGTGTAATTTACATTTGTGGCTGTCTCAACTATTATGGTCATTCACAGGTTATTTAATAGGGGTGTGCATAATTTAAGAAAATTATTCAGAAGAAATGAAAACAAATGTGTAGGGACACAAGAACAATATATATTTAAAGCATATGTATCATTTCTCAGACCACCTGTGAAACTAAAAAGATATGACCAAATTAAATCACATAACTGCCTTAATAAGCTGACTTTTAAAACATGATCTTTTTTAAGTTGCAGGGAAGACGAAAAAGAAGTAACGAGAAAAAGAAAGGGAACTAGTAGCTCTTTAAAGAGGAGCTATATTTCTTTGAAGTGACTCTTAGGAATCATTTTCAAAAGGCACACTCTTCTATTATTTAATATATATTTTATACTGAAAGTAAAATAATTTGAATGAATACTTGATTGTATTCATTGTATCTAGGATATCATGGTAGATATATGTACATACCTGGTATAAAAACATGTGACCTTTCTGGGGACTTTGAAGGCAAGCTGATTTGCACTGTTCATTATAGAAATTTATTGCAGCTGAAATATTTGCTGTCTAAATCTACTTAAAGTCAAACTTACTGTACTCGAGAATAACTACTGATAGAGATGTTGCTGATAGAACCTGACTTGATTCAATACAAAGTGACACAACCTAAGGTGACAGGAACAGCACACTACATCTTTCAACATGCCTCCTGCTTTCATTCATTATGTGGCATAAATTATGGTATCTCAAGCCATTTTTATTTCTAGCATGACCTGGTTGGAACAAACCCTAATTTTCTTTCCAATCCAAAAGATACTTAGCAGTAGTCCTAGCAAAAAAATATATCAATAAAAGACATTTAAATAACAAAAATATTGTATTAAATCAATCAGTTTGATTATGCATATTCATCTGTGCTAATATTTCTATACGGATAGAAATTAAGGAATACAGTTGGGACTCAGTTCAATCTCACATCAAAAGGAGAGAGGGATATGACTGGGTTAGCTCAGGCTATATTTGCTAGCCAAATATATAATATGATATATTATCAGAAAAATTAATCTGCAGAATCCAATATGAATCAATTAATGGGACCAAAGGTTTAGTCTTCCGAGTTTTTTGACTTGTGCTGGAACTCATCCTTAGGGAACTTCTCTCTACCAGAATCAGTGGTGGGATTCAGCCAGTTCACACCGGTTCGGTAGAACTGGTAGCTAATTTTTTGTTGACTTTGGCAAACTGGCTGAATCCCTACCCCTTTTTCACAAGGCCCATAATGGACCGAAGGAAGTATGTGGACATCACTTCCGTAAGTCCCTTCTGAGCCTCGGAAGCCTGGGGGAGGCCTCCCAGGCCCTGAACGGCCCACTTGAACTGTGTGGACATTACTTCTGAAAGTTTGTTCTGAGCCTCAGAGGCCAGACTTCCAGAAGCAGCATCCATGCAGAGAACTGGTTGTTCAGGTATTTGAATCCCACCCCTGGCCAGAATATATATTTTGGGCTATGTGCCTGGTTGTGTCTTGTGTTTTATTTGTTGATAGGGCTGTTGATGGCTGGCTATTAAGTTGTTGGCTGTTGTTTCCTTGTGCTGACAAGTCCTCACTCCTAAGTACCTGGTAAGCTGGTGGTAAATTAGCATTCCTG